AACATTTTTTTTTTTTTTTTTTGGGCTCATGACTTCTAGAAGACCTGACAGTTACATTAGTGTACAGGCATCCCTTGTTGTGTAGGATAAATGACTCATAGGTGGAGCACCTGCCGCAGCCGCAAACTAAAAATTCCATTCACGCTTTGATTCTGTTGTTTGTGCTGATCTCTCGCACTAAAGATATTTCAGTACTAATTGATGAAACAAGTTGTTGAGAATCTGTTTCGGAACAGATTGTTGATCTCAAGGCAACGATTTCTATTCTAACCTCCTGTTTCCAAAAGTTTGTAGTTTGCAGAATATTTCTCTTAAGCTAAGGTTTTCAGAATTAACGGCTAGCTAAAGGTGAGAGTGCAAATATTAAGCAAAAGCAGTTTTTAGTTCTTTTTGAGTAGGAAAAATACTTCCTTCTGTTATTTAAAATGCATACTGTGATTTTTGTGTAAACAACTTTATGGCCAGAACAGTTGGGTTTGAACTACAGTGTAGAAATAGCCATTGTTGAGGACAAATGCCTTTTGAGTGTTCTGTAGAAAATTGGTTTTAGTTTAACTAGCCTTCAGGCACATTTTGAAAAATGATAATACTTTTTTCTGTAAGCTCTTAAAGTTCACAGTCTTATTCTGCACCTGTGGAAAAGCTGGATAATTTAACAGCATAGTGAAAAACATGCTGAGTAGGTTAGAAATGATATATAAATCTGGTAAAGTGCCAAGACAGAGATTTGCTGGAAGGCATCTCACATACTGCACAGTCCCCAAAGTTTTCTGGAGTAACACTTCCTCTGGCACATACGAGATGGGGGAGGTAGGAATGCTGGTATTAATTGTTCAAATACAACCCCAGGTATGGACTTCACTCATGCTGCCACTGCTTATCCTAAGCAGTAAGACTCTGATTTCATAAGATACATTTTTTACTTTAGGAAGTTTCCTTGAAAGAACTACTTGTTCAGTGAAAGTTTAAAATTGTGTCATCTTAACTCTGCCATATTTGTCTGTATCATAATGGTGCATGCTCACAGACTTTAAATACAGGAAAGCATGCTGTTTCTCGTAATACAGAAAGATATTCTTCTGAGCAGAAAGTTAGGGTCGTCCTTGAAATCTTGAAATGGAATCTAGTAAAAGCTGTAAGTGTTTCACTTCATTGTTTCATTGTCAGTATATTATAACTTGATAAGACAATTTCTGTAATTGCAGCTTACCAGCAAGCACTCTAGATGTCAACCCTAAAGTTTGCTGTGGGGTATGAAGTTAGATAAACCCTTCGTATGGGTGGAGTTCACTATAAGTTAACAGCATTTGCTGTGGTAAACCATTTTGTTCATCATCTCTTTTTGCTGAAGTGAGTCCTCGGTGTGGTTTGGGTGCACCACTTGGGTAACTGCTGAAACTGCTGTGGTTTCAGAATAGGACCTGTTTTGCTTTTTTCTGAGTTTTTTTTCCCTGAAACTATTAGCAGAAAAATGAAATAAGTAAGGGTTACAACTGTTCACCTGCACTTTCTTACTGCCATACCTGAAAAATGACGAGCTGTATCATTATAAAACTTAATACTTTTAATCTCCAATGAATGAAAGATTAACTTGATCTTAGTCACTGCTAATAGCATATTTTTTGCTATATTATGACGTTACCAATGTCCTTTAGTTTTGTTGGTGACTTTTTAATGCGGTTTGGGTATTTTTGCCTTAAATTATAGAAATACTGTACCCACATCCTTGAATACATGGAGTATAAAAACCTTCATGCCTTAAACGTGCACTTACTTCATTGGAGGCTGCACACTTGGTATAAGTCAGCAAGGACTTATTGTAAGAAAGAGAATTTTGGTGGTGTTATTACTAAGTTGTGGCCAATAAATTAATAAATGTGAATATCTAACTAAACCATACACTCTTCTGCCAGGTTTCAAAACCATGTTTGCAGAGTGTGGCAGGATGAGACAAGCTCTAACCAATGTACAAAGTATCGTAAAAGAAGACTTGCTGAGGAGTCTCTCTGGCATGAGTGCTAGGATTGGCCTGTTCAGTGTGGGCACTGCCCTTAAAACTGCTTTGCAGAAAATCACCCTGGTTTTGGAAAGGTTGCCCTCTTGCAGTGTTTCTTCAAAATAACAAAATTAAAGCCTTCTTCTAATCTTTAGCATACAAAAACTGATTAAAATTGCATTCTGAACATGAAATGGAAGATTTCTGTATTAGCGGTAGCTCCATAGTATTCAGTTACATTTCCTCTGCAACGAAGTTGTTCTTCTGTGATCTGTTGTGAAGATGAAGCAGAAGAAACCCCAATGCTTGTGGCGTATGCTCTGAAACCGCTAGGGGCTTCACGCGAAAACATTAAACAGGCCACCTAGAAAAAACAGTTTTGCTGAGCAAATACGTTTCAAAACCTGCGTTTGTATTAACAGTCAACAATTCCACACCGTGGTTTCAGCAACAGAAATTTTAACCTAACAAAAGGGCAACTTAAAATGGAACAGTTTTCCCTCTATCAATCAAATAGATTGGGTGAACTATAGCAGAGAGAATTTGCTTGCTAGTATCCGGCGGCAGAGGAAAAAAATGTAGAGGGTTTTTATTCTGCCTTGATTTTAAATAGAAATACAGATACTTTTTCTATTTGTGACTTAATTTAAAGTAATTTTAAATTGCATTTCGTAGTGGGAAGATACCGTCAGAGAAAGTTACTAGTCACCATCGTTTGCTGTTTTATCAGGAGAATCACATACAAATTGCCGAGTTATTCACCGGGTTTGCTTAGTTCGCTAACATTGCATAGGTGTGATGGGGGCAAGATCTCCTGCAGGCCATGATGATGTGTGGGATGTAAATGCAGCGGTTTGTTTTAAAGAACAAAACGTGCCCTCTCTCGATAGCAAAAGCAGTTTGAAACTCTGGTGAAGAGCATGAAGGAAGGTCAATACTTGTGGGGAGAGCAAATCCTGCTGGTATTTCCTGTATATTTTGTCATTTCCTTCCATGAAGGACAAATCAATGGTTTGATCTGCCTGTCTTTAGAAATCCCACATGCAGTTTCTAATACGGGTATCCATGCATCCTTACAACATCTGTTAGCCAGGATGGAGCACACACGCTGAACCATGGAAAACAATACTGAAGCGACCTGTAAGAGGTCTAGTCTATCCTCAGCTTCCAGGTGGCTCAACCTGTGTGATTTCTAGAAAAGATTTGTCTAATCTGTTCTTGGAAATCATGATGGGATGCAATGAATTCCGTAGGCAGTCTTGAATATTCCAAGTTTTAAGTTTTAGCAATTGTCTAGTGTAAATCTCCTTTGGTAAAGTCTAAATCCATGACCTCTAAGGTCATCAGTCTTTTTCCTAGTGGGTGTGGAAGATTTGCCTGCAAGACTGTGATCCTGTTTCCCTTCAGTATTCTCAAGACTAAATGAGCCTAATTGTAACGCCTGCTGTGCATGTGTTGTGTTCTACACCTCTTTCTGTCTGCTTGTTCTCCTGGAGACTTTCTTAGCTTGTTTCACGTCTCTCCTGAAGCATAGCGCCTGAAAGTAGTCACCATATTCCATCTGAGGCCCGAGTTGAGTGTAAGAATAATTTCCCATCTAGCATACAGTATTCCTGCATATGCATTTTAGTATGATGAATGCCTGCACGTAATATCATAAGATTTTTTTTTTTCCACTGATCAACAAGTCCTACCTGAGATTGAAAAAGAAATCTGTACCTCTTACTCTTACCAGTTTTTATAAGTACTGGTAGTTCATTTCTGCCTGAACTGTAGGTTTATATATGAGTCTGGAGGTTACGGGGGTTCATATGCTGAAAAAATGAGAAACGACAAGCTGTTACTTTCTTTGTAATTGGCTTATTTGGCAAGCATTAAATCTCAGACGTGCCCTCTCAGTGAAGAGCAGGGCTGATGGCGCTTATGAGATAAGAGACTGCCCCGTTCCTTTGGCTCCCCTGTAAATCTGTGCCTGCCTGAAGCAGAGGGCTGGGGGCCGTGGCAGCCAGTGCAGTCTTTAGGCAGGTGCTGCTAGTGCTGGGCTGAGCCCGCTGATGACAGTGGGCCCTATGTCCGGGAAGCTACACATAGTGGGGACGGACTTCTGGCTGGCCTCTGGGATAGGAGAGGCAGGGCTGAGACTGAACGGTAAGTGCAGACAGGCTCTTGGTTAGATTATTTAGGTAGTGTAAGCTTTGCGTCCCTTTACTCCTCCTCTTCAGACAAAGGAGGATTTCCGCAGATTTGGGCAAATACTGTTAAGCGTGTGCAGCTTATAATGTTCATGAGCACCTACCATTGCCTGAAAGTGCCTTCTTAAAAGATATCAGGCTATATCTTAGACGTGCCAAGTACACGCTCTGAAGTATTTGGATTTTCAGCTCTGTTGTGGAGTTGTACTGAAGTGGAGTTTAAGAACAAGCAGTCACCTACCCAAGCTGGGTTGCACAGCAAGCCCCCCAAAACAAAGCGGTTTCTTTGTCCGTCTCTTTTCCACTGTACATGTGTAGTGTAGTGACAGAAGGACACAGCAGTCCCAGGAAAAAAGAGAATGCATACATACTGTACACACACGGATAAGTTACTATTCAATTCTATTTACCCTGGTTCATTGCTTATCTTTAGTGAGATACGTTTCTAAGTATTTTCAATTTTACACAATCCCAAACTTAAACTGAAATGTCTCTAATCCTGAACTAAAGTCATACTTGTCCAATTCTGCCAATCAAATGTCATTATGTTGGGTTTTATCATACAAAACCTCGATGATATTAATATTGTAATATGTATAAATAGCATAATAAATCCATATGGAGAAAACATCTGCTTGAGATGATTTGCATTGAATAATGAGTGCTATTATATTTGGTTAAATTTTAAACTACCCCACGAAGAATGGATGATGCTAAAATGCATCAACACAGTTTCCTATTTAAGGGGTTTGCATTGTCCATGGTAAGTAACTTCTCTTTTTCTCCTTTTGTTTTTCTCCTAAACTTTCCAGGTAAAAGTACTCCTGTAAGCCAGCTTGGGTCTTCAGATTTTCCCAAGCCCCATGATCCATTCCAGCCATTCGGGGCTGACAGCAGTGACCCGTTTCAAAGTAAAAAGGGGTTTGGGGACCCATTTAGTGGAAAAGATCCATTTGCTCCCTCCTCTTCAAGTAAAACTTCTAAAGACTCTTCCTTGGGGTTTGCAGACTTCAGCTCTGTAAGTTAAGTTCATTGTCTCTGAGCAAACCACTTTCTGCTCTGCTTGCAGCAATCTATTGGGTTTTTGTTCTAACTGCAAACCTACTGTTCACTGGCTTCTGTCTCTTAGTACCTTCATGCTGTCCTTGTTGTTTTTGTATTAATATTTCTGTAATAAAAAAGGCATTATTTCAATAAAAAAGAAGTTTTGAGTTTCATACTAAATTTTAAAGGGTTTACTTGCTTTTAAATTATTTTAGTGCAGTGTGCCTTTACTCACAAATTCTTTGTAGCAGAATCTGTGTATTGTTTTTGTTGCATGGAGGCTATTGTGTAACTGATTTTGGGGAGCCTATGATGTAAAGATTCTTCAAAAATAATTGTTGAAGGCATTTATATAGCCATTTCACCTTATCCTGAGAAGTAAATCCTTAACGAAAACGATTCCATAAAGTATTTGTAATTGTTTGTGGGGAGGGGGGAAAAGTTCTGACAATCCTGTCGCAATGTTTTCTGTATACAATGGAATGTGATCATAAAGATATATATACAAGACAGAGATTGAAAATTTAGCTGTTGAATTTTGTTCCAATTACTGATAACGTAGAGAAGCCCTTGTTAGACGAAGCATACAAAGTTGTTTTGTAGAACCAGTATAGAAACACCCATATTGCACTCCAAAAGATGATATCAGAAGGTTGGAAAGCAGAGCCAAGTATCCTTTCATGAAAAAATATCAGGATTTCTAAAAGCCTGGCTTTGTTTTTAGTGTTGGCAGGTACGTTATTGAATTGGAAATCGTTGTAAATGTAGTAGTAGTAGTATGGTTCTTACTGCTTCCATGAATAGGTAGAAATCTGTTCCATCCATAGCCTCAGGCTTCTTCCTTCTTTTGTGTGTTTTTGTCCTGTCACATTGCCATGCAGTAAAATTGCCAACTTAATCTGTTACTTTAAGTCTGATGAGCACAATTCAGTGTTCAGCAGTGGAGATCTTAAAGCTGAATCTTTCAGGTTGCTTATTTTTTAATGTTTTTAAAATGTTTTCCCCCCGATTATTAGTTAATAGTAAATGTGTATCATTTTCCTATTTGATATTGTTAGTTGAGGTCATCTGTGCATACTTTTAGCTGGCCTCAGTTCTTTAATTTATCTATGATAAAGTTCAAGATACTATGTATGCTTTACCACAGTTAGTACTAGCCTGTTGAATTTGGTGCACAGTTAAATTCTGTGAATGTATACAAAATGGTGACATTCTTAATAAAAATAAGACACAAAACTTGCTTTATCTGAAATTTCTTGAACAACACCTAATTCCTTCTTTGAATGAAAGAAAAATAATGGAATGGAATGACTGCAACCCAGCTGTTGTTATCTTATTTACAGACTGCATTTCTGAGAAGTGTGGCTTACACTGAGCGATTGTATCAAATGATTAACCAAAATCTCCCTCCCCCATCCCAATGGGTGCCCTAGCGTTTAGTTCTTTGTGCCATCAAGTTTTCAGGAGATAAGATTAACTTTAAAAGATAAGAAACAGTAGGAAAAATGAGGTCTGAGTAGTAGCCACTTATAGTTTGGTTAATTACTATTAGGTGGCGCTTCATCCAATAAAATTAATTTGTAAAATTGTTTTTGTGGATTGCTTTCTACTGTTCCAAGAAAAAAAAAAGTTAATTGAAGTTGATTGACGAGAGACTTTCTTTCCCTGTTCTTTTCAGTGTTTATTTTTTGCTTGCATATAACACAATTGTATTGCCACACTCGATGATGCCTAATTCTCCTGCATGAAGTCTTAAGTGCTCTAGCTACCTTGTAATCAGGAAGAATATTATGCTTGTCTTTACCTGTTTTTGGATAACTTTGTTTGTAATGGAAATTTAAAGTAATTTCACTTACAGAAGGTTTTTGACATGCAGTTTGTCTGTGGAATCTGAGAACAGAATCATAGAATAATATACATTCGATTAATTTAATAACATGTTTTACATTTAAATTCTGTACCTTTGCAACAAAATAACTTGAGGGCTTCATTACCTTTTAGTAGCACTCTATCAAATGTGTTTTTTTGGAGATACTGGCTAGTTGACATACCCAGAATTTCCTAGGTATTTTCTTGTTGCATTCTTCACTTTTGCAGTGGTGTAACCTTTGGAACAAAGCAAAATGTTTTGTTATCTCGTTCTCGGTTCTATCTTAAGTTTACAGAACAACGAGAAAAGTGATTTTTTAGTCTACAGAAAGCATTTTAATTTCCAAGAAACAGAGCATTTAGAACTAAACTAAATTTTTTTCTCTTCATATAAACTGCCAGTTTAGTAAATACGAGTCAGGGTACTTTTTTGTGTATTTGATTATTTCCTCTGCAGATTCTGCTGTTTTTCTCACTTTTGCCTTGCGTCTGACTTTACTCTTGGGTTAAAAAAAAATCCTATATGAAGAGTGTTTATGAAATGACAGATACGTGATATAAACGTATAGACTTCTTGAAAACTGGACATATGCCAAAAAATTGTTGTTTTAAATGACTTGTATTTTAGTTACATGATCCTTTTATAGGTAATCTGCACAAGAATCAGGGGCCACAATAAATTGTTCTGCATTTCGCTATTTAATGGTCAGAGTTATGCTCCTGAAAATTCCGCTTTATGCTAAGGCTTTGCAATAAGATTTGGTTTCCTGTGAATCACTTCTCCCTCCCCCCTCCATCTTTCTTTTTTTCCTCTCAGCCCTTTTAACCACAAAAATATAACTTGTGTATCATAAACAAGTCGTAAGTTGGACCCTCCTAAGCTTTGGAAGATTTACCCTAAGATGTAAGCCATATAAGTAAATCTTTTCTCAACATTTGCTCTTAAAAAGACACCCCAAAGAGATTAACCAAAGCTTACTCTATTTCTGAAAATAGTAGCGGTTATTCTCCATCACAGCTACAGGATCTTCTTTTTGAATTCTTGGAATCAGTGGAGAAGTCCTACTTCCATTTGAGTCTGCCTTCACTGTGTCTTGAAAAAAATCATGTATTCAAAACCTTAGTGAGTTCTTAAACCTTACCGGTCAGCTGGTCACTGAAAGTATTTAAAGGAGTAATGACAGTAGGATTTCTTCATTTTAAAAGTACAATTTCTTATAACGTTTGGTACTTTTATTGTGTTTCAACAACGTTGAATGCAAAGGCCCTCATCTAGATTTTTATGGCAATGGCAGCAGAGGCATTGTTTGGGGAAAAGTAAATTTTTAAAGTAGTCCTCTTTTTCTGCATCATATCCTCTTGCTTTTTCAGATATTGACATAAATAAATGAGGAATTGCAAGCATTTGGAAAAGTACAGATAGAGCATAGTTTAACTACAGTGGATGAAAATTGGCCTTAGGTTTAAAGAAATACAAATAGATGCGTTTATTTGAAAATATGAATTATAGATACAATGCGCTTTACTCTTTAAAGTTAATATTCAGTACAATATTTCAAGCTTGTCCGGGAAGGTATAGCCGTGTCAGCTAGTCGAGTGGCATGTTTTGCTATGTTCAGAGGTACTGTGCTGTAGACCAGAGACCAGTATTTGCAGTATGCGTTCAAGGGAAATTTGAAAGTATAAACTCCATGTATTTTTCTCTTTCAAAAAACCCAAATAATACCTTTTCCTCAACATTCAAAAAAGGAAGGTCTTACAAAGCAAATTTTGGAAGTGGGATCTAATTGCAAACATTTACATGCAGCTCTACAAAAAAACTTCTGTTAACATCATCCTCTTCATCCTAAAATTGGACGGTACTAGACTTTATCTTAGATTTAAATTAGTATTATTTCAATAAAGTAATTCTATAGCATTTTATGCGACAATCTCAAGAAAGCAAACTTTTGCATACTTCAGTACTAAATATTGGAATATAATTTTGGAATAGTTTTGCTGACTGTTGCAGTGTACTTAAATGTGTTTTGGAAAGCTCAAACAGGCTTACAAGCTGAATGTTAAAATGTGTTATGTCTCCTTAGTGTTTTCTGCTGAAGTAAATTGGATTCTCTTGCATTATTTCTTATTGGAAAAACTCTGCATGTATTTTACGGACAGTTACAGAAGGACTTTTTTTTTTTTTTCTTTTTTTACTTTTTACAGGGCGGTGAGGTTTCCCACAAATTGGCAGTCTCCAGATTCGTTAGTAGAACCCCTCACCATTAACAGGAAATATTACAATAAAACTCTTTGCAGTGTAGTTGCACAAGAGAAAATAGCTGTTAGTTTTACCAGCTAAAAGCTAACAAATTTACCGTTCTTGAGAATGGATGGAGGTTGCTGTGCTCTCAAACCACCAACGAACTTCTTGTGTGTTTGTGGAGTTTTTGTTTTGACTCCAGTCCTCCAGCGGTTTTCATAGACTGCTGAGACGTGGAGGCAAGGGTGTGCAACCCAGAGGGGTTAGTTCTTTGGTGGGAGGAAGAGAGAATTAAGGAAGTAAATGATAGGATGAAGCGAGGACAACAGTGAGCAAATTGTTATGTGGTTCCAGAAGAACTAGCCTGATGCAGCTCGGTGTACTTGTTTTGTATATTTTAATGCGTTTGATTTCTTGTACTTTTCATATAATTTTTCTGGCTTTTTGGTAAATTTATTTATTAACCCATTTTCCATTTTCGTTTTTTAGTTTGGAAATGAAGAACAGCAGCTGGCATGGGCAAAGCGTGAGAGTGAAAAAACAGAGCAAGAAAGACTAGCTCGATTGCGGAGACAAGAACAAGAAGACCTTGAGTTGGCTATTGCACTCAGTAAGGCTGATATGCCAAGCTCTTAAATAGAGGCTCTTTGGCTCTACCCTGTCCAAGTGAAACCTTTAAACATGGCTTTTATAAAAGTACTAAGTTCTTGTTTTATGTTGTGAAAATAATTCTAGTCACCTTCAACTCTAAGCAAGACTGGCTGGCTAGATCAAACTGGGCTCGGTGTGGCTTTTCAAGTGCATAATATACAGGAAACACTGTATAAGATGTATTATATGTTCTAGGTAAAATTTACTGCTTGTAAGAAATTTAACATAATCCCAAAATACTGGAAGTAAAGTTTCTTTATCTTGAAGACAGTGTTGCATATAGTAAACTGCAACTTGTGAATCTGGCTTTTTATTACCCAAATTACATTGTTTTTGGAGGCTGCAGTATGCAATTACAAGAAAGAGTCATAAAAAGGTAATATTTATAGAATTAGCTTTCACTTGTTACATTAATTGAATTATTCATGGTAGGCTAATGAGTACAAATCCATCTATATCAAAGTCTTCAGCACAAGCTCATTATGAGATGTTCCCTTTTTATCAAGGAGACGCAGCTCTTACGACAGAATCTGACAGTTTATATATGATGAATATATACACAGCGAATATAAAATACTTTGAATTTGAAGCCTCTATGAATGAGTAGCAGTTCTTATTGAAACATTTATTTGCATTGAGTTTTAATAATTATATGTAGTGTTGTAAAAGAGGGAGTTAATCTGGTGGTAGTAAATTGGACAAATGATGACTTCGACAATTAAATCATTAGGTAAAATCATGCTTTATCTCATAAACAAATATGGTTATAGGACTGTGATAAGTTTGAGTTCTTCTTTAATGTAAGATCAAAAAAAAATGAAAGCTTACTAAGTTTGAGCTGTGCTCTTTCCCACAATTCATTTTACCCTCTTTTGCTCCAAGCACCAGAAAATAGATCGTATTATTTGTATTATCCAACTGTCTGTGCGAGACGGTCTCTACCTCTGTTTCTTTAATTCCACTGGTCTTATATTAGGGGGATACAGATCAAAGATAGTTTACCTGAAATATGGCCAAGTTGAAACAGATTTTATTTGCCAAATACATGTTCATGCATAAGTTATAGAAGTACTGGTAGACTGGGTTGGCTTTAAAAGGCAGGTTGCAGTCCTAAGTCCGTATAGGAACAGATTTTAAGTACACCTGTAGAATGTGATATATTCACTTGGTAAAGATAATGCAGAATACATTTTACTTGTCGTATCTAAAATAAGTCCTTATGATAAGTTTGTGAGTTATCTACTAAATTACTTCCTAAAAATGCCTTTCCTGGTGATTACAGGAATTCTAACACTTCAGTTGTCTTTGCCTTGGACTTTTGTGTCTAAATAGAGTAGAGACCTAGGGCAAAATTTTTCAAAATGTCCTTAATATATATCTGCTTTCTTATCCTTGGTTCTGTAGGAGTACAAACTGGGTACTTAACATGCTGTGTTTTTACTGATGCAGCCCTCATCTTGGAAAATTTTCTGTTTTTTGGAAAGCGTCGTATTCCTCCATCATCTTTAATGCATTTACATTTCTTACGCCCTTGCTTCAGTATTTTTATTTTTCATGATACAGTGATAGTGCCTGTTTATCTGAATGAAAACAATCTTTCTCCATGCTGTTCTAGTCTGCCTTATTCTGGAGGCTTTCCTTATGCAGAGGCAAGAATCAGATTAGATTATTTTAGTCTAATTAGTAGTTTTCAATTCTGAAGTGCAGCTAAAACATAACATTTGTTGTCCCCAGCTTTTGTGAGCAGGTATATATACCAGTGAGCATGTGTCGACACGTGTGCCTGCATGCGTGCGCACGTACATACACATGCATCCGTCTATTTACATATGCGGCAATGCATTTGACAAAACTGAGAATCCATATCTCAAAATACATTTTCAGGAGTCACAATTCTGCAGTTGCTGTGTATCTCCTGTGGTACCGGTACTACAAATACTGTGAATCTTAAATTTGCCTGAGAAGGGGAGAATACGCATTCTGGTATGAAAAGAACCATATGGTGATCTCCAGTACCATATTTTAATGACCTCTTGCGAGCGCAGTAGGAGATACTTCTCATTGTCCAGAACTTGACTTGATGTCCCTTCCTATTGTAATAATTTCCTCTAATATATGTTAGATTAAATGATCAAACGCGCGTTCAAAAATGTCAACACATTCTGTTTTCTGTTGATCTGCTGGACTCCCAAGTCTCTGAAAGCAAATTTGGCCTATATATAGCTAACATGAGATAAACCTTTTGCTATGAAAGAGCAATTTTCAAAATTGTATAAGATTCTCCTTTTCATTTGGGCCTAAGACACCCAAATGTCACCAAAGGAGACATCTTTGTGGTGTCTCCTTTGCTATAATAAAACACCATTCATATGTAGTGCCGTTTTATAAAGGAAAGCCACTTTTGGGCTACTGCTTGGACGATGTCACTCAAGTGGGACAGGTGGATAAGTTAAATAGCTTGATTCATTTTTCCTGGACTTTCCACTGCTTTGTCATTCTCAGAAATAGCGTGATTTATAATG